AAATATGTTATATACGTGGCTACATATTATGTAATTATCAATCTATAATCTCCAGTATAAGCTGATCTCACATTGTAGACGCATTCCGTACAAGACGTCAATTTTTTCAATTTTTTAGGTCAATTCATTTCATACAAGAGTCGTCTTCCGCGTTTCGTCTGGTGAGTGCAGGTGGCCGGAGGCCCAAATCCCCCCCCCCCCCCATCAACATGGTAGCGGAATTAAATAATGATAGACTACCCCAGGAGGGTACCAGCACCCCTTGAGAATCCCTCGCTGAGCATCCACGACCATGTTTCTCCACTTCTGAGCGTGGGTGCTCAGGCTGCCCCGCGTATTCTGGGGGGGGGTGCAAAATTCCGCTCAAGACTAGCTCCAAACGGAGCAACAAGACCAAGCTGACCCCTGCCACGCTGTCCGTGAATTTCTGCAATATCAGGGGACTTCACTCTAAACTAAACGTCCACTACCATCTCGAGACGGCGAGGCCGGCTCCGCTCTTTCTGACCGAGAAGCAGGAGTCCTCTTCGGCTGATGTCTCGTATCTCTCCTACCCGGGGTACAAACTGGAACACTCCTTTGTGCCTCGGGCTGGAGTTTGCGTTTACGTCAGAGAGGACATCTGTTCTCGACGCCTCGGCAGACTTGAAGGCTCGGACTTATCCATCCTGTGGCTACGCGTAGACAACGACGACCATCCGCGCGTCTACGGGTGCCTCTATAGGTCCCATAGCGGTAATGCCGAAACAGACCGACTCTTCGCCCACGTCCAAATGGCTACAGATTCGTTGCTACAGCAGATCCCCTCCGCAGAGATCGTGATCCTCGGCGACTTTAACGCCCATCACGCCGAATGGCTTGGTTCACGTTTAACCGATCATGCGGGGAGATCTGTTCATGATTTTGCCTTGGCATATGGTCTGACACAACTGGTTACTTCGCCTACGCAGATTCCAGATGTAGAGGATCATTCACCTTCCCTGTTGAACCTTCTGCTGACCTCTCACCCGGACCGATACCAGATTTCCGTCGCAGCCCCTTTAGGCTCCTCGGACCATTGTCTTGTCCGGAGTGAGGTGCCACTCACGCTGAAATCGCAGTCGCATTCTGCAGGCTGACGCCGTGTTTGGCACTATAGGTCAGCCGATTGGGATGGGATGCGGTCTTTCTTTGCATCCTACCCTTGGGGGCGGGTTTGCTTCTCACTGGACGATCCCAACGTTGTTGCGGATTCGGTCGCTGATGTGGTACTTCAGGGTATGGAACTTTTTATTCCTTCCTCTGTGGTGCCCATTGGAGGCAAATCTCAGCCATGGTTTGGTCGCTCCTGTAAAATAGCATCATGCTATAAGCAGGAGTGCTACCGAGCCTGGGCTGACGCATCAGCGTCCCGGGATGTAAACACCAGCGCTCTAAAAAAAAATATAATTCTGCCTCTAGGTCCTTCAAAAGAGTCATTGCCAAGGCAAAGTCAGAGCACATAGGCAGAATTGGCGAGAAACTAGTTCGCCTTCCTTCTGGAACTCGTACATTCTGGTCTCTTGCCAAGGCTGTCCAGGGTAATTTCTGTCAGCCATCTCTTCCATCTCTTCACAGGGAGGACGACTCACTGGCCCATATCGCAAAGGAGAAAGCCGATCTTCTGGGCTCTTTCTTTGCGTCCAACTCGACTCTCGATGAAGGGGGGAGTACGCCGCCGACCATCCCGCGGTGTGAGTGCTCCATGCCGGAAGTGCAGTTCACACAGCGCTCGGTTCGCAAAGCACTCCTCTCCCTGGACATCCACAAGTCTAGTAGGCTTGACGGCATCCCCCCAATTGTGCTGAGGACGTGTGCTCCAGAGTTGTCACCGGTTTTAACGCGTCTTTTCCTGTGCTCCTACTCCCTAGGCGTAGTCCCAAAATCATGGAAGACGGCTTTCGTCCACCCGATCCCTAAAATAGGCGACCGCTCAGACCCGTCCAACTACCGGCTTATCGCCATCACCTCCTTGTTCTCCAAAACAATGGAGTCCATTGTAAAGTGCCAGCTCATGAGGTACCTTGAGGATCACCAGCTGATTAGTGACCGCCAATACGGTTTTCGCCGTGGTAGGTCAGCTGGTGATCTTCTGGTCTACCTAACTCACAGATGGGCGGAGGCAGTAGAGTCCAAGGGGGAGGCATTGGCCGTTAATTTGGACATTGCGAAGGCCTTCGATCGGGTTTGGCACAAAGCGCTTCTTTCGAAGCTCCCTTCCTATGGGCTTCCCGAGAAATTGTGCGATTGGATCACCAGTTTTCTTGCAGATCGGAGCATCAAGGTCGTTGTAGACGGTGCAAGCTCCGATTGCAAGCCTATTAATGCTGGTGTTCCACAAGGCTGCGTGCTATCGCCAACGCTGTTTTTTCTGCATATCAATGATATGTTGCAAACCCGTAACATTCATTGCTATGCAGATGACAGCACTGGTGATGCTCTTTACACCGGCCGAGCCAATATTTCTCGGGAAAACGTCTCCGAGTGACGGGGCAAACTTGTGTCTGAAGTCGAGTCCTTGCTGAACAGAGTCACGTATTGGGGGCGACTAAATCTAGTCCAATTTAACCCCCAGAAGACACAAGTTTGCACGTTAACCGCTAAAAAGAACCCCTTTGTCGTATCTCCTCAGTTTCAAGGCACTCCCCTTGTTGCCTCAGCCAGTATCGGAATCCTCGGCGTTGACATGTCGTGCAGTGAGTGCGTGCAGTTTCGTGGTCACTTGGAAGAGAAGGCCAAATTGGCCTCTAAAAAAGCTTGGCGTGCTCAGCGGGCCAGTATTTCACATGCAACTTTACAAGGCGCAGGTTCGGCCGCACATGGAATACTGTTCCCATCTCTGGGCTGGGGCTCCCCAGTTCCAGCTCCTTCCACTTGACCGCATCCAGCGCAGAGCGGCTCAAATCGTCGACGACCGAATGCTTTCCGATCGGTCCGATTCACTGGCACTGCGAAGAGATGTTGCATCTCTGCATTTTATTTCGCATATACCATGGAGAGTGCTCTGAGGAATTGTTCGGATTAATCCCAGCCGCCAAATTTCGTGAACGCACTACGCGGCAAACGTCCCGATACCATCCACACCATCTGGATGCTTGGCGGTCCACCACAGTACGCTTCAAAAGGAGTTTTCTTCCGCGTACAACCTCTCTGTGGAATAGTTTACCACCGGCGATTTTTCCGGACCGACACGACCTGGGGACCTTCAAGAAAAGAGCTTACTCCTTTCTAAATGGCCGGCAACGCACCTGCAATTCCCCTGGTGTTGCGGTTGATCATGGGCGGCGGTAGTCACTTAACATCAGGTGAGCCGCATGCTCGTTTGCCCCCTCTTCTATAAAAAAAGGTCAGCTAACACTGAAAAATAGTAGCTTGATACGTAGCCACGCGTAATTGCACCAAATTAGTATTGTCATAATAAACGTAGGTAGGTAGGTAATTATTCATTGTTATTTTTGCGGCAAGTCTGCTTTTATGGATGATTTCATCTTCTTTTATGGATGATTTTTAGGGTTCTATATCCAAATGGTAAATAAAAATATCCCGTACCTAGGTAGGTATTATTAACTTGCCACGTGTGATTGGGACCCAAATAACTTTGAAATATGTAGAAATAAATTTGGACGAAACAAATCTCCATATATTACAAAATATAGAATTGTAAGTACCATACGTGTTTTGATCATCACGAAATTAGCTGTTCCCCCATGGCATTACCGCTTGGTAGGTACTAACGTGTAACTGTACTGTCTCGAAATTAGCGATTTCACGATAAAACTTTTCATAATGTTGCATTTTTTAATGTTCCATATTATTTATTCATGTTGACAAAATTATGCTTTCAGGTGTATTTTTATAATGAAAACCGGGACTTTTTCCCGGGAGGTATTTTTTTTGGTGATTTTATGTGAAGGTCATATTACATCACACATAATTATTTGGTTCTTAATTATTGCGTTTCTCCCCACCATTCCATGTACAATTTTTCCTGGAGAATAAAACCGGGAAATTTTAAGAAGTAGATAAAAGAGTAAGGCACCGAAATCTATGCGAGAAACTTAGTACAGGATGACCTGTACAATGATACTCGTATAATTGCTGGAAACGATATTCTATGTTATTTTCATTCCTATTTTTTTATGTTCGTCATTTCTTAATAAGTTTTATAATATTTTCCCCCGGGACTTCCCAGGAATTCCCGGAAAAATAATTGTAATTTTTTCTCGAGAACGTCCCGAATATTGTTAAAGAAATATGTATTATTGAATTTTATGGTTATTATTTTATATGTAACAAAGATAAAGAATTTGTATTTTCACATTTATATTTTTGCAGAGTGCCGATGTCAATAGCTATTGAAAATAATAGTAATAGTGATAGCCAAACCGCAACACAAACAGTAAAGGAAACAAATTGTTCGAATTACTGTGACGAAAGTGGTGCTAATGTATTACATGAAATGAAAATGTAAGCAGGGTTGTATTATGTTTAATCGACCTGTAAATTATTTCTTTATAATATGTTATGAACAGAAAAATGATATATACATAAAAATAACGGTCTAAATTTCTGTATAATAACATTGAACATTTATACACGGTGTAAGGGACAGCATCCCGAAACAAAAGTAATGAAAATTTTTTTTCGTCTTCCCATGCAAAGTTGGTCATGTGACGCTTGTATGGGAAGTTGATAAATTTTTTTCATTCCCACGAAAAATTCTTTTAGATCCTTGCTCAGGATGATGGTCTGAATTCATAGTTAAAGATTTCGGGAGACCGTCCCTTACACCCTTTATTATTGATTTTTGCAGAGTGTCAGTGCCAATAACCTGGGGAAATAATGGAAATAGTATTAATGACTATGATATAGAATTGATAAACTAAAACACGGATGGTGAGAATTTAATAAAAATAAACGACATAGAATCGTAAGTATTGGTATACATTGTAATCATCTATTGGTAGATAATATAAACCAAAATGATAACAATATTATGTTACAGAACGCAAACAGTTAAGGAAATTAATTATTCAAAATTAAACAAGGATAAAAGTGGTTCTAATGTGTTACATGAAATGGAAATGTAAGTTGGGTTGTGTTAAATATTAAGTCGACCTGTAAATTATTTTCTTATATTATGTTATGGACTGTTAAATCATAAGAAATACATAAAAATAACGGTCTAAATTTCGGTCTTCAGTCTCATAACATTGAATATTTACATAATTGATTTTTTTGACAGAGAGCAAATGCCATTAACCTTGAAAAATAATGACAGCCAAAATGCACTCGACGATGATAACAATTGGTATGCACTTCAAGTATATTTTATGTTTTTTGTATAATATAAATTACTTATGCTATATTTAGTAATATTTATTCGTTTTAGGTATGAAACTAGTTATACTACTGAGGAATCTATAATAAGTTATGCTTTAGATGGAAGAAGAATTGTAGATTTAAAATATTTTTTTCGAAAAACTTCAAAGCATAAACGATCACAACAAAGCCTTTGGATGTAAATTAAGCAATATGCAAATTTTATCTGAAAAAAGACGAGGATTGCTCACACAACTCAAATGAAAGTGCAATATGTGCAACAAAAGCTTTTCAATAGACTCAGAACCCAAAACGAAACTGGATTTAAGTCAAGCTTCAGTTTCCGGAATTATTTCTGCTGGTGTTGGATACGCTCAATTTAACGAGGTATTTGCCTCCATGGATATCCCATATTTTCACCAAAAGATTTATGATAAAGTCCGGAATAAGATATACGAGGACTGGCGAAACGCGGCGTTGATTGTGATGGAAGCAGCTGCAAGGAACGGGATGCTGCTCTTGCGGATGAACATGTAAATAGGGATGGTATCCCATATATTGATGTGATTGTTGATGGGGCCTGGTGTAAACTATCGTTCAATACAAATTTTTCTGTACTATCTGGAACAGCAGCTATAATTGAAAAAAAGTTTCGGGGGAGGTTTTGTTTATTGGCGTTAAAAACAAATATTGCTCCATATGTGCACGAGCCGAAAATAAGAATGTCATTCCAGGAGACCATGCTTGTTACAAAAATTACAGTGGCTCCTCGACCAGTATGGAGTCCGAGATACTATTAGAAGGTTTTAAACAGTCTATTACTATGCACAATCTCATTTACAAATGATGGTGACTCAAGCAGTTACAATAAAATTTTAGAAGGTCGTCCTTATTCCGATTGTAGCGTAGAAAAATTGAATGCAAAAACCATATTTTTAGAAATATGTGTAAAAAATTAAAAAATATAACCACAGAAACAAAATATCCCGCCAATTTAAGGAAAAAAATTACTACACAAAGAATACTAGCTATTCGTAAAGTAATCTGCTGTAGCATAACTGAACATGAAAAAAAGGAATTTAACTTTGATACAAAAGTAAATCACCTTTTCAAAGATATTACTAATTATTACAATCACACATTCGGAAAACCACGACAATTTCCAGCCATATTACTGTTCTAGTGGAAAAAATAGTGAAGATTTAACTTTAACTTTCAAGACTTGTTCTATTTGGCACAGAATCAGGTATACTAAATACTGTAGCAGCAAAAGCCCGAAGTCTAATGCACAACAGTGATAGCAATATAATAGAATCATTTAACAGCATAATTGCTAAATTTGATGGCGGAAAGCGAGTAAATTATAGTTCACGAAGCGGTTACCAATCGAGGTGCAGTGCTGCTGTGGTATCCTTTAATACAAAACAGCCTCTTTCCACATTGCATAAATACATAGCCGGAAGAAGTCCTAAAGCACTTGTGAAGAAATTTGAAGAAAATAAATTAAGGCAGAGAAAATTCAGATTCAAAAGTAAACAAAAGGAAAAATAAGAATATTTAAACAAAAAAAAAACCAAATGATAAAGATTACGGACAAAATTGCCAAAAACCAGATTTGAAAACCGCAGAGTTTAATAAATTGAAAGATATATTTTTAAAAGATTTGACGAATACAGAAGAAGAAAGAAGACAAATCGAAAGATCTACTATATTACAACGAAACTCAAGTGAATGGCTTGAACTAAGGCGAAAACTGCTTACAGCATCAAATTTTGCTAAAGTGGTGAATAGACGCTCTCAGACAAGTGTAAAAAATTTACTAAAAAATCGTGTCGTCTATCAAACATGGAATTGATAATGAATCAAATGCTTTAGAGCAGCTTTCAGCCCAGCTTCATATCATAATAGAGCCATGCGGACTTTTTATTGACAAATGTTTGCCCTTTTTAGGAGCGACTCCAGACGGAATTATAGGAGAAGGAAGTATTGTAGAAATAAAGTGTCCAATAACATCTTTTAAAACATCTATAAACGAAGCAATCGAACAGAAAAAAGTAACTTTTTGGAAGAACACCAAGGATGGTTATAAAATCAATAAAAAAACATCCTTGGTTCCTATAAATTCAGGGGCAGTTGCATATTACTGAAAGGCAACAATGCATTTTTGCAGTGTGGTCAGGTAAAGACGAGCCTCTGAAAATTGAAATTATACAACGGGATGACCACTTTTGGTCGGAAATCATGGAGCAAAAATTAAAAGAATTTTATTTTAAATGTATGTTGCCAGAGCTCTGCGATCCCAGGCACGTAAGTAATATGCCAATCAGAGAATTAGGTGAAACTACCCACTTGTCTTGTTGACTAATTAATGGATTTATAATTTATAATTCTTCTTAGTCGCAAAATCAACCCCGAGAAAATGCAAAGAGGGATATTATATTACATTATATGTCATCACAGATCTAAATGGATAGACCAATTTTGATAATTATTTTTTAAGTTTAATGCTGTTGTTTCAATTTAAAGGTCCTTAACCTATTTACCTACCAAAACTGCGGAGATTTTGTGTTTAGTCAACGAGAGAGTTAATAATTTTAGCTTTTTTATTATCAAAGTAGTTGTAAGCAATAGAGATGGGCCGAATATTCGTTTTATATTCGGTATCCGGCATATTCGGCAGCATTACCGAATATTCGTATTCGGCCGAATATTCGGCTAAGTCACCGAACATTCGGTAAAGTTATACTCAGTGTCCACTTTATTGAAATGTATGAATTGAGTAATGCTATGTCTTTCATAATATTACTGTTGAACGTATATTTTATTTATGGGCTAAATCTACTTGTATTATTTTTAGATATATTATATATTTAGATTTATTTTCAATTATACCAAATAGAAAGCTTGATAAAATGTTTTTGGAATTAAACAAAGAAACATTACATTACAATACATTACATAGTAAATTTCACTTTACTTTGGTCGTCAGTTTCTCTGAAATAAATCCAAATAGTAGATGTCCTGCTACTCGTGTTTATCATATAATAATCAATATTCACTAAGAATAACACTACAAATTTCTTTTTCGCCCAAAACTATTCAAAGCATATGCGTTGGCAATTTGCTCAGTACAAGATGATGATACAAAGATGATGTCAGGTGTGGCGTGGGAGTGAGCGGCAGGGTCCGGCGCTAATCCCGCGCGCTTTACGGTAACAATTATCGACAGAAATTGGTTAGGTACCGAGGTGATCCTGCCGAATATTCGTATTCGGTGAAATCCATGTTCGGCCCATCCCTAGTAAGCAAATTATTATTTTTTATAATATGTTTGTTCACTTTTGAAAAGTGTAGAATAACCATTGCAAATAAGTCAAAATGTGGTTTGATATGATTAGTTTCATTTATTTTTATTTCTTTCAAAGGCCAGAACGAAATTTGTTAAAGGTATTACAATAACTTATACCAAAAAGTGATTTTATGATTTTTTTTAAATAGGAAAAATATGACTAGCGAGCACACAGTCCACCCGATGGTAAGTGGTTGCTGTGGTCCATAGACATCTACATCTATCGTTTGCAAATCAAAATGAAGATGCGTTGTCATCCGTGAGGACTTAGGTGGAATACCTCGTTTCCCGTAAAAAGGGTTCTCTACACTCACCATACGAAACACAGCAGCATTAAGCTACTATTTGACGCTGGTATTCTGTGAGAGCGTGGTCCTTCCCCGGTCAAGCCGGCCCATTCATGCTACAAATATACTACTAATATAACTGAAGCATGGCTCTACCACTCACAAACGGAATAATTATATATATATATATATATACAATTATATATATATATATATATATATATATACACAATTGTTATATATATATATATATATATATATATATATATATATATATATATATATATATATACAGCCCTTCACAAGTCCACTGCTGAACGTAGGCCTCCCCCAAGTAACGACACAAAGCACGGTCCTGAGCCAACCGTATTCATTGACTTCCTGCATATCTTACCAGGTCGTCACTCCATCTAGTGGAGGGTCGCCCTAAACTACGCCTACCGGTACGAGGCTGCCACTTGAGAACCTTTTTTCCCCATCGGTTATCGGTTCTTCGAGCTATATGGCCGGCCCAGTGCCACTTCCGCTTACTAATCCGTTAGGCTATGTCGGTCACTCTGGTTTTACTGCGGATATCCCCATTTCTGAGTCTATCACGCAAATAAACTCCGAGCATAGCCCTCTCCATAGCTCTCTGAGCGACCTTGAGCGTCCTCATACGGCCATCAGTGAAGGACCACGTCTCAGATCCGTAAGTCATCACTGGCAACACGCACTGGTTATACACTTTAGTTTTCAGAGATTGAGGTATACCTGACGAGTAGATGTGTCGTAATTTCCCGAACGCTGCCCAGCTGAGTTGAATCCGTCAATTGACCTCTCGGTCGAAGTTGGACTTACCTAGTCGGACTATTTATCGCAGGTAAACGTACTCGTCAACAACTTCGAGTATAGTGCTCCCAACAACTACCGGCATAGGTGTGACATGGATATATTAGACATGATCTTTGTTTTGTCCATGTTCATATTAAGACCTATCCGTTGGGAGACATCATTGCGGTCATTGAGCATAGTGCTTAGGTCCTCCAGCGATTCTGCCATAAGGACTATATCGTCGGAAAATCGAAGGTGAGTGATGTACTCGCCATTGATGTTAATACCGTATCCTTTCCAGTCCAGTAGCTTGAAAACGTCTTCCAATGCAGCGGTGAAGAGTTTCGGGGATATAACGTCACCCTGTCTTACACCTCTCTGCAGTTGGATAGGTTTCGAACTCTGGTTCTGTACTCGGATAGCCATCGTAGCGCTACTTTACAAACACTTCAGCACTTCGATATACCGACAGTCAACTTGGCACTGCTGAAGAGATTGTAGCACCGCCCAAATTTCGACAGAATCAAAGGCTTTCTCATAGTCCACATATGCCGGGCAAAGTGGCAGATTGTACTCTTCGGACTTCTGTACAATCTGCCGCAGGGTATGTATGTGGTCAATTGTGGTCTATGGTACTGAAGCCTTTTTGGAAACTGGCTTGTTCGGGAGGCTGGAAGTCGTCGAGTCTGCGTGCGAGACGATTTGTAATGACTCTCGAAAATATCACGCGGCTCGGAAGGGAAATCGGTCTGTA